TATGTCAAACCCGGGAATATTTTAGGACATGCTCGTCTTTACTGAGCACTGCCGATTAAAGGCACACCTCCACTTGTTGGGTCTAGTCGACAATGTTGAATGCCGAGTATGTGCGGAGAACGAGAAGGCGGTTGAGTATGTATCTTTGAATCACTGTTTATCTCCCCAAAGGATCTGAATGATTTTTCACCGAGCAGAGCATTAATTGTTCGTTAACAGCATTGGACTGCAAGGTGAAATTTGATAATGTTATCTATCGGGGTACAACTTGTTGAAAAATGTTTTGTTTGAATTTTCAAGTACTTGAACTACTACCTGAGCAACATAGCTGCCTCAGCTGATAAATAACGTATTTACATCTTCTACCACTCCAATAACATAGAATTTGTTTCTCTGATCTGTGTCCCAGATCACTCTGAGGTTGCGTTAGCACAAGAAGGCACTAAATAAATAAATGAGTTGTTTATGTCAAACCCAGGAATATTTTAGGACATGCTCGTCTTTACTGAGCACTGCCGATTAAAGGCACACCTCCACTTGTAGGGTCTAGCCGACAATGTTGAATGCCGAATATGTGCGGAGGACGAGAAGGCGGTTGAGTATGTATCTTTGAATCACAGTTTATCTCCCCAAAGGATCTGAATGATTTTTCACCGAGCAGAGCATTAATTGTTCGTTAACAGCATTGGACTGCAAGGTGAAATTTGATAATGTTATCTATCGGGGTACAACTTGTTGAAAAATGTTTTGTTTGAATGTTCAAGTACTTGAACTACTACCTGAGCAACATAGCTGCCTCGGCTGATAAATAACGTATTTACATCTTCTACCACTCCAATAACATAGAATTTGTTTCTCTGATCTGGGTCCCAGATCACTCTGAGGTTGCGTTAGTACAAGAGGGCACTAAATAAATAAATGAGTTGTTTATGTCAAACCCGGGAATATTTTAGGGCATGCTCGTCTTTACTGAGTATTGCCGATTAAAGGCACTCCTCCACTTGTTGGGTCTAGCCGACAATGTTGAATGCCGAGTATGTGCGGAGGACGAGGAGGCGGTTGGGTATGTATCTTTGAATCACAGTTAATCTCCCCAAAGGATCTGAATGATTTTTCACCTAGCAGAGCATTAATTGTTCGTTAACAGCATTGGACTGCAAGGTGAAATTTGATAATGTTATCTATCGGGGTACAACTTGTTGAAAAATGTTTTGTTTGAATTTTCAAGTACTTGAACTACTACCTGAGCAACATAGCTGCCTCAGCTGATAAATAACGTATTTACATCTTCTACCACTCCAATAACATAGAATTTGTTTCTCTGATCTGTGTCCCAGATCACTCTGAGGTTGCGTTAGCACAAGAAGGCACTAAATAAATAAATGAGTTGTTTATGTCAAACCCAGGAATATTTTAGGACATGCTCGTCTTTACTGAGCACTGCCGATTAAAGGCACACCTCCACTTGTAGGGTCTAGCCGACAATGTTGAATGCCGAATATGTGCGGAGGACGAGAAGGCGGTTGAGTATGTATCTTTGAATCACAGTTTATCTCCCCAAAGGATCTGAATGATTTTTCACCGAGCAGAGCATTAATTGTTCGTTAACAGCATTGGACTGCAAGGTGAAATTTGATAATGTTATCTATCGGGGTACAACTTGTTGAAAAATGTTTTGTTTGAATGTTCAAGTACTTGAACTACTACCTGAGCAACATAGCTGCCTCGGCTGATAAATAACGTATTTACATCTTCTACCACTCCAATAACATAGAATTTGTTTCTCTGATCTGGGTCCCAGATCACTCTGAGGTTGCGTTAGCACAAGAGGGCACTAAATAAATAAATGAGTTGTTTATGTCAAACCCGGGAATATTTTAGGACATGCTCGTCTTTGCTGAGCACTGCCGATTAAAGGCACACCTCCACTTGTTGGTTCTAGCCGACAATGTTGAATGCCGAGTATGTGCGGAGGACGAGGAGGCGGTTGAGTATGTATCTTTGAATCACAGTTTATCTCCCAAAGGATTTGAATGATTTTTCACCGAGCAGAGCATTAATTCATGTTTCATTAACAGCATTGGACTGGACGGTGAAATTTGATAATATTATCTATGGGGGTACAACTTGTTAAAAAATGTTTTGTTTGAATGTTCAAGTACTTGAACTACTACCTGAGCAACATAGCTGCCTCGGCTGATAAATAACGTATTTACATCTTCTACCACTCCAATAACATAGAATTTGTTTCTCTGATCTGGGTCCCAGATCACTCTGAGGTTGCGTTAGCATAAGAGGGCACTAAATAAATAAATAAGTTGTTTATGTCAAACCCGGGAATATTTTAGGACATGCTCGTCTTTGCTGAGCACTGCCGATTAAAGGCACACCTCCACTTGTTGGGTCTAGCCGACAATGTTGAATGCCGAGTATGTGCGGAGGACGAGGAGGCGGTTGAGTATGTATCTTTGAATCACAGTTAATCTCCCCAAAGGATCTGAATGATTTTTCACCGAGCAGAGCATTAATTGTTCGTTAACAGCATTGGACTGCAAGGTGAAATTTGATAATGTTATCTATCGGGGTACAACTTGTTGAAAAATGTTTTGTTTGAATGTTCAAGTACTTGAACTACTACCTGAGCAACATAGCTGCCTCGGCTGATAAATAACGTATTTACATCTTCTACCACTCCAATAACATAGAATTTGTTTCTCTGATCTGGGTCCCAGATCACTCTGAGGTTGCGTTAGCATAAGAGGGCACTAAATAAATAAATAAGTTGTTTATGTCAAACCCGGGAATATTTTAGGACATGCTCGTCTTTGCTGAGCACTGCCGATTAAAGGCACACCTCCACTTGTTGGGTCTAGCCGACAATGTTGAATGCCGAGTATGTGCGGAGGACGAGGAGGCGGTTGAGTATGTATCTTTGAATCACAGTTAATCTCCCCAAAGGATCTGAATGATTTTTCACCGAGCAGAGCATTAATTGTTCGTTAACAGCATTGGACTGCAAGGTGAAATTTGATAATGTTATCTATCGGGGTACAACTTGTTGAAAAATGTTTTGTTTGAATGTTCAAGTACTTGAACTACTACCTGAGCAACATAGCTGCCTCGGCTGATAAATAACGTATTTACATCTTCTACCACTCCAATAACATAGAATTTGTTTCTCTGATCTGGGTCCCAGATCACTCTGAGGTTGCGTTAGCATAAGAGGGCACTAAATAAATAAATGAGTTGTTTATGTCAAACCCGGGAATATTTTAGGACATGCTCGTCTTTGCTGAGCACTGCCGATTAAAGGCACACCTCCACTTGTTGGTTCTAGCCGACAATGTTGAATGCCGAGTATGTGCGGAGGACGAGGAGGCGGTTGAGTATGTATCTTTGAATCACAGTTTATCTCCCCAAAGGATCTGAATGATTTTTCACCGAGCAGAGCATTAATTGTTCGTTAACAGTATTGGACTGCAAGGTGAAATTTGATAATGTTATCTATCGGGGTACAACTTGTTGAAAAATGTTTTGTTTGAATTTTCAAGTACTTGAACTACTACCTGAGCAACATAGCTGCCTCGGCTGATAAATAACGTATTTACATCTTCTACCACTCCAATAACATAGAATTTGTTTCTCTGATCTGTGTCCCAGATCACTCTGAGGTTGCACTAGCACGAGAGGGCACTAAATAAATAAATAAATAAGTTGTTTATGTCAAACCCGGGAATATTTTAGGACATGCTCGTCTTTACTGAACACTGCCGATTAAAGGCACTCCTCCACTTGTTGTGTCTAGCCGACAATGTTGAATGCCGAGTATGTGCAAAGGACGAGGAGGCGATTGAGTATGTGTCTTTGAATCATAGTTTATCTCCCCAAAGGATCTGAATGACCTTTCGCCGAGCAAGGTATTAATGTTCGTTAAGAGCATTGGACTGCACGGTGAAATTTGATAATGTTATCTATCGGGGTACAACTTGTTGAAAAATGTTACTACTACCTGAGCAACATAGCTGCCTCAGCTAATAAATAACGTATTTACACCTTCTACCACTCCAATAACATAGAATTTGAAAAATAAATTAATAAATATAAATGAAGCCGAAGTCGTTTAATTTAATATTATATTATAAAAGCAAATTAAATAAAAATATAATGGCGTTAATTTTATATCACAAGAAGTTCAATTTATCATCACTAGAGGGTGGTGTGTATTACATAATTATTGTACCTTCTCTTAAACAAATCGTTAGATTTGTGTTGGTTTAAGAATTGAGTGTTTTTAACGTAAAAGATATTTCGTAGCAAAGTGAATGAAAACCGGTTTAAGAAAGAAGTGTCATTAAAAAGAAAATAGTCGTCGCTGATCGTTGTTGTGCGTGAATCATATATCATAGAGAGGTTACGTTTTGTAACGTAACTTGTTCGAGTTTGCAATGTTTACATGTTACTACAACTACTGTTCGTATCCGGACAGGCGACAGCAGAGAAAGGTAATGATCTATTATCCCTTTATGAACACGTGTATTTGCGTCTGGCAAACGAGGATATCACTCGCGGAACACATGCAGTGCCTACATAACCTAAAAATACATTTTATAACCCCCTTTTTTTCGGTTTCCGTTTGAAGAAAGGAGCAACGCAAATGTTTATCCCCGCACATACTGCCTTTTGTTTGTTAAATAATACCATGTTTTAAAATAATGATACTCCGACTTGGTAAACAAAAACTTTTTAATCTTTGTTTTATTTTTTCAATTGTTTATATCTTTCATCTTATTTTTTCGTTTGTTATTTATTTTATGATTTATTTTAATGAGGATATAAAATAAGGAATTTATGCGTATCATTTCGGTTTTAGTTTAAAATAAATATTTTTAATCCTTGGAATTTTCAAGATTACACAATAACATACAGGCTGGTTTAAATGTTCTATGTCTTTAAGGTTTACATATTTTTATTAAATTCTTGAATATTATTTTTATTTTCAGAGAGGAAGCGACGAGCTACTGTCACAGTCAAACGTCTCAGTGATGGCACCATCTGCACCGCACTCAGATAATAATAATCAAGAAAATGCTAAAAAGGTAATAAAATAATAAAATTTATACTTAAGTAATAAAGTAGAAATAATTTAATTTTTATTAACTTATTGTATTATATCATTATCCAACTTCTGCCGGTTTTTTTATGACAAACCATCGTCGTCCCTTATTAATCTCCGAAGCGTAAAAATGTCCAACAAAATTAAGTACGTTTATTAATAGTCTTTATTTTTGCCAACCTTGATGATATCCTAAGACCCTAAGACGGCCAATTTATATCCCTTGACGTTTCAACCCCTGACATTAAGGGATAAATTGTTTCTTTAACCTTTCCTTGAGAATTAAATACCTATTCTCTGTACCAAAAAAAAAATGAGAGAACAGATTTTTGTACTTAATCAACATAACATTGTATGTAACGTTAATTATTCTTCAATGTCAAAGTCATGGAATAAAGAGATATGGCTTAAATATTTACGACTTTTAACTTATGTTCCTTTATTTATTTCCCATAAATCAAATACTCATTAAATTATTTATACTATACCATCACGAAAATGATTGCGGAAAAATTTATTTTGCATATCATAAAAAATGGGAAATATAATGGATTTTAAACATTCTCCACGGATACAACTTGGTGTATATTATCCTCAAAAGTATTCTATATGCAATGAGATAGTCTTAAGAAAGTGGAACTTGAAATTTTTTTTGCAGGGAGGTGTTACATTTTTCAAAACACTCTATTACAGTAGAGTAAAAGAATTGCTTGAATTTCTCGAGTTATATAATATATAATGCGTCGGTCGCAAGCGGTCTCAGTTCACTAGTTATAACTGGTATGACAAAGATATATGCAACAATTTTTTGGTAATTGTGTCTTTATTCATGTATCGAGACTAAATCAGCACAGGCAATCATAATTATATATAAACAAAGATATATTACTATTATTAACCTTTGCAATATTTATCGCAGTATAAGTTTATCTTAAATAGTAATTGAGAATAAAAATTGTTTGATGCTGAAAATAGAATAATAGTTGTTCTGAATTCCACTTTAACTAAATTTGATATTACAAATATAACTAACGAACTTTAATTTGTTCCGCTTTCAGGTGAAATTGGAGCAAAATGTGGGTAAACCCTCAAGGGTGATACACATCAGGAACATTCCTAACGAGGTGACGGAGGCCGAGATCATCCACTTAGGCATACCCTTCGGCAGGGTGACGAACGTTCTCGTTCTAAAAGGAAAAAACCAAGCGTTCCTCGAAATGGGCGACGAAACTTCTGCCACGTCTATGGTCAACTACTTTTCAAGTTGTATGCCTCAGCTTCGTGGCAGAGCGGTTTACGTTCAATACTCTAATCATAAAGAACTTAAAACGGACCAGACGCACTCCAACGCTGTAAGTCGTTTCTTTAAGTATCTGTTTTCATAATTAGATTACGATTAGGATTGTAGAAGTCACATAATTTTAGATGTTAAGAAAGAAGGAAAAGAAAATAGAAACGTGAACGTCATAAAACGCGACATAGGTTTCTACAGAAACCAGGATCCCCTTTATTTATCACGTGGCAAACCGTCCGTGATAATCCGAAAATCCGCGAGTGACGCGTCGTCACGGCAAAGTCGACGCCTCTACCGTCGCTTTTATTATTTTTTTTCGTGTTCCCCCGGGTTCGTCCCTCTTCCTTCATCCCGTCGTAACTCATCCGGTCACCAAGATACATTTCTCCCGAACGGTGGCAGCGGCCCTTTATTTATTTGTACACGCCCGGACGACGTAAGAGACGCGAGCCTCCATTTGTCTTCCGTCGTTATCGTCTCTTAATTGCCCCTCGTTTCAATCTTGCTTATTTTTGAATAAC